CTCAAGTACCCCATTCATTCGCTCCCGAACAGATATTGTCTGCAGTCTTCACATTCTGTAATCCATCTAGCTTTTGCAAATGTTAGATGGATTGCAGAATGTGAAGTAATAATGCCTCCTGTTCCTTCAAGCTACTCTCTGCGTTACAGTGTTCAGCACGGATCTGTGTCTTACTGCTCGCCTCTGCTTCACGGCGCTCTTGCAGATTACTTGCCTTTTTTACAAACCGTTTACACTGTTTACTGCAAGGCAATCCCTGGCACTTGCTCTGGCTCATCGTTCTCACCGGCATCACTTGCAAGTGCTGCAGAACTAAGTCTGCCTGCTAATTTACATATGTGGGGGCCCCATTGAATCTTCCCATCTATAGTAATACAAATAAAAACAGTGGCATCCATAAGACTCAATCACAGAGTAAAGAGGACCAGAGGGGAAGCTTCCTAACAACGTCGAAAATCTATACCTATTCTGATAGGGTTGTCACCTGATGCATGTGAAAATTATAAGGAAAAAATAAAAATATTGTATAGCATAAGACAATATGTGTATTAATTATAACTAATATTAATGTAACAACATATTTATTAATTGTTTGAAATCAAGAGTAAGTAAGTGTAAGTGGTGGTGGTGGTAGTTGTGGCTGTGATGGTGGTCGTGGGCAGTGGCAGTGGTGGTGATAGTAATGGTGATTATGGTAGTGGTGTTGATGAAGCCACTGTTGGTCCACTGCCTACTACCACTACCTACGATATTACCACCTCCACCACCACTGACACCATCAGCAACACTATCCATCAACACCAGCACCACTTCCACCAACACTATCCACCAACTATGGATATTTTTTGTCCGAAATAAATGAATTATTATTATTATACTAATGTGGCTGGATAAAGTCACACATTTAGTCACACATTTCGATGGATGCAGGTGGCTCAGGACCGTGGTTTGTGGCATTCCTTGGGGGAGGCCTATGTTCAGCAGTGGACTTGTGAAGGGCTATAATGATGATGTAATAATGAAGCAAAAACGTTTCAAATAAAGTAAATTTTTGTTCATCGAATGTCATTACCCTTACTTTGTGCTGAACAAATATGCATGTAGCGCAGAAGGGGGCGCTAAAAGCCTTGTAACGTGGAAAACCCTCGTCTTAACGTTAAATTTATCAGTAAAATAATGTGCAATGCTGGTTACTAGTTACACACCAATTGGATAATGTAAAGTCATATAAATGTTATTTAGCTTAAACACAACCTGTTTCGAATTTGTTAACTTACCTTATTATACCTGTAATTTAAGCTCTGGGTCAAATTGACACACAAATCGTATAACATTATAACTCAAAAAAAAGAGGTTTACAGGGACGAGAAAATGATTTTGCGTCCTTCACACCTTATAATTTGGGAATTTTTATGACGTTCTTTTATAATGGTTGATATTTAATAGCAGCAGGTTTTTATGGTCTAACAGGTCGAGATAAACGTTTCTTCATATTCGATATACAAATTCAAGACATTTCTTTTTCAAAGTTTAATTACATTTAATTATAATAAATTATATACATATATGCTATCTTGTTCGATAACTTGTTGCCATCTTGTAGGTAGTGACATAATCCCGTTGATGTTGAAACCTGGGATTTTTGATTGAAAAACCACGACAAGTAGTTAAACTTTCACCTAGGGCGTCCCTTCCTGACTCTGCCGTTCACCTTTAAAAATAAATATTGATAAGATAAAATAAATGGTATTTAATGATTATCTTGAGTCTAAATAACGCCACATTTTCCCAGGTTTTCGCTATTGTTACTGTTCATGTTGACGGTACGGGCTCGATAAGCCGTCATTTCTAATCCCATACTTTATCCGTACGGACTATGTAATATAATATGTAATATATCTCAATATGTATATAAAATCAATTGCTCTCTGTTAGTCTCGCTAAAACTCGAAACTGACTTGACCGATTCTGATGAAACTTTTTGTGTGTGCTTGTGTGGGTACCTGGATGCTTTAAATTTACAATTGGACCCGGTAGGTGGAGCTGTTGTCATGATCAAAAAATTACCCGTGCGAAGCCGGAACAGATCGCTGGTATTGAATAAAAATAATTCTATTTTATATTTTTTATAAGCACGAATACGAAATATTGAACCAAACTTATTTTACGGATTTTGTCGCCACTAATTCACCGGATTTAAGTTATTTTCTTTCGCATTTGATTCCCGACGTTTCGTTTTTTTTACAGCACCCATGACCCCGAGGGGATTGAGGTGTTTACGGTGTTATAATTAGCCCGGGCTACCTTTAGCTTTTAAATATTAATTTTTGATCTGATCAATGCACAAGAGTTAACAGTATCTTGAAGTATTGCGATGGTATGATTGGGTTTGAATTTAATTTTATTAAATATAGTTGCACCCAGCCATATTCTAAATTGAAATTTGGATATATTTTTAATTTCAATAGACTCGCGAATTATTCTTTGGTTGGAATAGGCGTACTTTTGCTAGTATTTGTGATTTATTGAATCTGATGTAACGGCAGGGACCGTATTGAAATTTTTCACAGACTAAACTTTTCGGAGCATCGGCACTTCAAGTTATCTATATGTTCTTATACGCGGGTTTTTATAGATCTTCTTGTTTGTCTTATGTAAGGGAGACCACATTCTTGATCAAGCTTGTACACTCCTGTATCTTATAGAGAGATTTTTCGGCAGCTTGTCGTAGGTTTTAATGGAAGCTCGCTTTGCGATGAAGGACGTCTTGTTTGTGTCTCCTCTGACAAATAATAGGAGGCACACTCTCGACTACGGTTGGCTTCGCTCGGTCACTGTGACGTATTTTAAAAATTTTAAAGAATTTAGATTTTTTTATAATATGGATAATTAATCCAGGATTTTTATTAATGTATATTTATTTTTCTCTCAACTGTCATTTATTATTTGATATAACGAGTTTTAATGATACTTTTTGTGTCATAAAACTTTCTAAATGTAACTACTTTGGAACAATTGTTTTCTTTGAAACAGAATACATTATGTCGAGGGACTGAAACCTAATTCATTACAGAAAAGTTCGGTGATGTAGAAGTTTTTCGAAGTTTTATTACCTAAATAATCTTTTGGGAAATTTTCATTATTCCTCTTACATGCGAGAAAAGTACTTAAGAATATTGGTACTGCAGAAATTTAAACGAGAAATATGATTTTTTAATCATTACTATGCTTAAAATCGTCCCAAATACCTAGACAATATTAAGCTTAAATTAGAACTTAGATAAAAAAAGAAAAATGGGTATAATTATAATGATTTATAAAAATTTGTTGTTTATTTAATAGACATAATTTGTATATTTTGATAAAATTATGTAACTTGTGTATTTCTGTAGTATCTTATTATCTTATTTTTTTTTTTAAATGGATTATTTCTAAGATAAAAACATAATTCAAATCTATCATCACATTGCTTTCATTTAAAATAGTAGCGAAGGATATTCTTGATACAAAAAACGGTAAATTAAGGTCTTATATAAGTGACAAGTTTAAACGTTAAACCTACAATATTATTGGTAGAAAACAACAACTGTTTCCTCTTGTATGGTAATTACATTAACATGGTTGAAAAAAAAACTTAAAATTGAAATATTTGCGAACAATAAAAATCTCAAACCAATCATTGCTAATGCGACAAGAAAATAATTAAGTGGAATTAAATGCGTAAAGTTGGATGCGTTTAAATAAACATTTACATTTCTCTAATAACAAAGCTACATACAAGACAATAATTATTATTGTTTAAATTTTATAAGAGTAAAAGAAAAATGTGTAATATAATTTTATTTTTCTTCGTACTTACTTGTCTTCTATAGTAAGATTTTTTTTAGATGTGTTTTACCTCTGTCAATAGCGGCAAAGTATGTAAGTGTTCCCTTAGGGAAATCAAATGTTGAACATGTTGTCTACTTTATTTCAATTTAGTTTTTGAACGAAATTTGTATTTTAGCTTGTTCTATTGTACCATAAAAGGCCCAGGTGACCTTTGACGCTTGTATTGTTTTACTCATCATCCTAACTTCTGAATTGATTAAATAATCGGGACCAATGATATCAAATTTATTGAATTTGTAAATGATGAGCTAGAAAGATGATTATGAGAATGCATCATCAATATCATAATCATGATGTGACGCTTCATAATTATTCATAATAAATAATAATTAAATTTGTTATAAAGACATTTAAAAATGTCATAGAAATTATATTTTAAACAATTAAAATGCAATAATACGAGTAAGCATAAAGTTCAAATATATTCATTTGGAATATTGAATATTATAGTATTAGTAAACACATAGATTCTCTAAATTTATTATAAATCTACTTAAAATATTCAAAATGTATTAAATTATATAAATACAAGTCGATTATATTGCAATAATAAAGATTAATAACATTTATAATATAATAGAAAAAATGTATCAAAATTTTCTAAGTTGATAAAGGTGTTCTTGTAATAATCGGAAAATGGAATATATGGAACTATGGAACCAAAGCATTAATATAGAAGGTCTCTATGATGCATAAGCATTATGATAGCAGAGTTATGACTTGAAGTCCCATATGAATAATAGCCCACTCAATGAAGGAAAAATAGGGGAAATAATTCGTGTAAAAGCGATTTTTGGCATAGTTGTAGGGAATGGTGTCTTAAACAACATACTCAAAGTACTGATGAATGGGGGTGAAGCTAACGGGTAGGGGGGGGGGGTGTAAAGGTCCCTTTTTTAAGTTTTTCTTAAATAACTCGTAAACGGTGGCTCATAGCAAAAAAATTTCTTCTACTCAAGTAATCTAAATAAAATTTTATACAAAAAAGATTCTATACACTTTTTCGCTGGGATCAAAATTTAATGAGATATAAAGGAAAGAAGATGGATAATAATAAAATAAACTTACATTTATTTAATTAGGCAAGACATAATATGTTTAAAAAAAATCTAATTATCTTCTAAATATAAAATATCATCATCAACATCATCGTCGACGGTGTTTTCGATGGGGGCTCCGTTAGTGCATGAGCCGGAGCATACGCCGCAGACCCTGGAGCAGGCAATTCCTGCTTTCCGGCAGCCGCATTGCACCCCACACCCAGTCGTGCACCGGCAAAATATGGTGTTGAGAATGGACTCAGGTGCCACTGGATCATTGGTTGTCACCGGCTTTAGGATGCCATCGTCCCCTCTGGCCCAGCCCCATTGAGTGGGTGGTAGGGGGTTGCCGAGCCATTGTTGTATCTGTAAAAGAAGTAATAAGATCAACGTAAGTATTTAGCTCAAATATATATTTATATTACAGTATTTGACAACTTTTGTGATTAATGTTACCTGTAAGTACACTCTCAATGAGTGCTGCTTCGAAGCTCCTCTGGTAGGAGGAAGAGTGGCCAGATCTGATTTCGGCTTCATCGATGCTCTCAAAAAAGCTGAGTATCGGTATTTATTGAGATTTTGTTCCTGGACAGGCGCTTGGTAAATTGCCAGAAGCAGTTTCTCGCCAGCCTGTTCAATACTTTCAGGTGATGTTGAAAGCCCACTGAAAATGTCTGAGATGTTTTGGGTCAGATCTGGTTTAGCCGTGAACAGCTTAGCAATTCCCACTTTGCTCTTTCCATGGATTGCGGAGGTGGTGTCGCATCCAGAGAAGCTGTGGAGAAGGAGAATTGACTTGGAAAATTCAAGCTGTTGAAGTTGTCGCACTGAAAACAATTTGGTCTCCACCTTTCCACGTCCTGGTTTCATAAAGAACACGTTGATATTTGGTGGAGCCAATCCCATGAGGAGGACTATCAAGTCGACATCCTCCCCAACTATTACAACAGATGAACGGCAGCCTTATCCAACCCGCAGCTGACAATAGTACCATCAGCATCTCCTGTTGCAACAGTTGTTTCAATCCCTGCTGCTGTCATTTTCTCGGTGAGGAACTGAATCAGCCTAGTTTTATTGTTTTCATTGGCAAGGAAATGCTCCTGTTGAACAGTGATGATCGTATTTTCGTTACAGTTAATATCAACCGACGTTCTAGTCAAACCTCGTCGCTTCTGCTCTGCTCGTTTTGTGCTGTTGACATCACTGTAACCATCAAAAACCACCATACAATTTGTACCGTAATGTTTCTGTACGTAGGTAATATACTGATGGCAAATCGAAGAAACGCTGGAGGACGGTTTCCATTTCATACGGTGTAGTAGGAAACCACCATCTACCACATTGGTGGTTTGGTTGAGATCGAGAGCTGCGTTATTCTCTACTGGCAAAACATCGTAGAGGGATGACTTCTTCCCTTTTCACATCACACCCTCGTGGAACAGAGACATGGGGAATGGGGTTAATTCATAAGTCAAAAGGTCTGCAACATCTTCGTCATTCTTTTTTGCTATGACAGTTCTTTGGAAAATAGTTAAAGGGTTAACAGTAACTGTCTCACCATTGATTTTAATGCTACTACTCATACTGGCTAGTGACAAAACCACATTCTTCTTAGACTGCTTCATGTCACTGAATCTTCTGCCAATGAAATTTTGCATCGTTTTGGTGCCAATATCTAGGGCTTGGTGGCAGTTTACTTTGGAATTTCCCAGGACGCCCGTTGAGAGAGATATTAGCGAATTCAACTTTGGAAATGGGGGATGTTCACTAAACCATTCCCGAATCTTAGCTCGATCTCGTGAATCTCTCTGTTGCCGTGACTGCCGGAAATCAACATGCTGTTCTCCACTAGCAAAAACCACTTCGGCGAACTCCTCCAATGAAGTGCAGATGGCGGTGCATCCCGGTGATCCGCAAACCCATTTGGCCAATACAGAATCAGTAATTCCTCTTCCTCGCGTCAGGCCACCTGAACTTTTCATGGAGCGCATGAGAGTTTGCTCTATTACCATATCCGACCAAACTCCTGCCCAAGGTGTGCCTGTGCGATTAATGGTGAAGAAGCCTTTTTCTGCAAATTCCTTGTACGTTTGGGGATGGCTGTTCTTCAGTTGCATCATGTCTTGCACGTAGATATGGGCACATTTCGCGTATTGGAAGTGTCCACTTGCATGGAAGAATGGGATTATCTGTTGTACACACGCCAAGTGGCCGTCCCAATCACCACAACGCTCAAAATTAATGTACTTCTTCATGAGTGTAACCATATTGAAATACTGCACCCACAAAGCAGCGGTAGGCCCATTCTCTTTAAGGGTCTCGAGATGGTACTGAAATTTTTTCAAAGTTGACATCAAGGAAGCATTCTCTTTAACTTTATCTGGAGTAAATTCTTCCATGTTGATCAACATAGTCGAGATGTCCTTCTTCTCTTCTGATACATTGGCTCCATCCAGAATAATATGAGCTAAAACAAGCTGAACAAGCAAATGTCCTCGAACGGCTCGGCTGTAGGCATGTCCTGTTAACATCTTGTCAACTGAATTAGGAGCAAAAATTTGGCATAATACATCTTTCAGTCCTGATCCAGCCATTGTGTGGCCAATGCAACCCAAAAAGGACATCAGTAAGTGAAACCCACCAAGTCTCACCATAATGCTCCCAAAGCTGATTTCCCTGGCCTTTAAATACAAAGGCTGGTCGAAAGTTACGAAACAAACGGTAACTCCTACCTCCTGACTCTTTTTTAAAGCATACTGTAAGGCTGTGCGTATAGTGCTGTACTCATTTGGTGGAGAATTGATAAATGGAAGAAAAGTTACCGAAGTTGTTTCTTTGTTAATTAATTTACTTGTCAATTGCATAAAACCTTTCCATTCTGGAATGTTAGGCACCTCCAAAGTAGGTTCCACCTCCTGGAGCCACTTACCACTCATCCACAAGAGATCTTGAATAGTGGGTGTGAATATGTCAGAAGGGATGGGCTTCAGAAAGCTCAAGTCTTCTATGATCATTTGCTGTAATGCGTTGGTTCCCCTACCCTCTAATGTATGCACCTTCAGAACTCCCAGCTGGCCCACTTCTTCCTGGGGAGGAGCAGAATTCAACCTTTTGACATTTGTGGATGCATGGAGAGTGTTGGCCGGTGTAATACATTTGATACCTCCCATGCTGTGGAAGGTATTCCGGCCATCGAGAGTGGATACATTGAAGTCAGCATTGTCAAAGACGAACTGAATAAAAGTTCCAATTGGAATAGGCTCTTCCGTATGGTGGATGGTGGAGAGCTCTAGCCGCTGAGCCTCGTAATAAGAGGCACTCAATCCCAACTTCGACAGAAGGTCCACCAAATTCTTGGATCCATATTTTCGGTATATAAGCAGAGCGATGCTGGACAAAATAGGGGATATGAAACATCTAGGGCGAATAGCAGCAATAAGTGTATGAGCTATAGTTGTCATTTTTTTTTTCACAGTCTCTTGTGACCTTTTTTTCTTTGCAAGGCAGTCTGTGAAAACTGCGAGAGTTTGAGGTATCAATTCTTCAGCCTCCCTGCAGAAGCTAGTTAAAGGAAAATAGGCACTGTTGTCGTAAGCCATAGATTCAATATCTTTCAAGATAATCTCAGCGGCTTTTCGTACAATTCTTTCATTTTCTGCCTGTTCATTAGTACACGTGTACCACGCGTCGTTTAAAATTTTTTCACCAGTTGCATGAAAGCAGACGACTGTTTGTTTGGTGCGAGTTGTACTGAAAACAATTTGGTCCCCATATTTTTCCTTCATTCTGGCTTTGATGGTTTTCACAGTTGGTGGTTCTCCCGTAATCTGTCCCAACAAATCGTCCATAGAAAATTGACAGTTATCATTTTTTTCAATGTAATCGTAGATTTCGTTCATTGCTTCTGAAATCCCTTCATCAATGGGGCGCCCAGCTTTTCTTTTTGAAGGTAGAGTGGCAAGGGTGAATTTTTTGTAACAATCCACGTGATATATAGCATCTACTGCATGTAGATCCCCAACAGTGCAGATACGTCTTACTACGTCGTTACCCCACTCATCGTTTCTTTCCTGCCCACGAAGAAGCACGGAATTGTGAAACGTAGTCGTACGAACTTTGATAATGGTTCGACGCTTAGAATAAGGTTTTTTTCTCTCCGCCTCCTCGTCATGCTCTTCTGTGCAAAAGAAACACTTTGTTTTAAAATCAAACTGACTCTGTCCTGAACGCAAAGAAGAGACACCACGTGATGTTGATGGTTGCTCTGAAAGAGCTTGTTCTCTCAAAAACCTTTTTATTGAGTCACTTCTAACGTATTGTCTTCTGCAAGTATTGTGAACAACACCACTCATCTTATTCCTTAAACATGTTTCTTTCCCATCTTTTCTTAACGCGCTTGCCTTTATTATCCCACTTATCCCTTTACTTCCGACTTTACACAAGTCCATTTCGACTACATTATCACAAATTAAACACTTCTCCGACATTTTGTAGTGCCACGTAGAAAAAAAATCACAACTCGCGACGCGATTTAACCTCTGACCGATTTTGGCGCGAAATTCGGCGTACACACAACCACTTCACTGGCGGCGCGCACAGTCTGTGGCGCGCACTTTACTACGACGTTAAATCGCGAGAATTGATCATAATTAACTTTTCTTCTTTAATATCTCGTTAGATATTGATCCCAGCGAAAAAGTGTATAGAATCTTTTTTGTATAAAATTTTATTTAGATTACTTGAGTAGCAGAAATTTTTTTGCTATGAGCCACCGTTTACGAGTTATTTAAGAAAAACTTAAAAAAGGGACCTTTACACCCCCCCCCCCCCCCCTACCCGTTAGCTTCACCCCCATTCATCAGTACTTTGAGTATGTTGTTTAAGACACCATTCCCTACAACTATGCCAAAAATCGCTTTTACACGAATTATTTCCCCTATTTGGCAGTTTTTGGTCTTCGTTGAGTGGGCTATAAGACATACAATAGTATGGTCTATGAAATAAAGCAAATATGTGGAAGGTCTCAAATATGTAAAAGCATTATATTGAAAGAAGTGGGACTTGAAAAGGATTATTATAGTGGCGTGTAGGTTCCTTCGCAGCCTCCGAGACCGAGGTAAACTTGGACTCGCTAACCGATGTGTGCTAGACATATCATCTTAGAGTCGGTGGTAAGCGGGTTTGTCGTAGCGTACGACTTGCCCGTGGACATCGCACACCCCTACCGTTTGTGGGCGGCGTCTTAGCGCATAGCGTTATGATACGCCGGATATCTTTCGGATTAGGGTGAGTGTGTTTGGTAGTACTTTTAAGTGCAGCAAGTACACTCAATTCCATGTCTTAGTGCAATAGCGCTATGATACGTGGAGTTTTGGCTACTGACGTCTTAGTACCGTCGTACTATAATACGTTGGTGCTATTTTTAGTTAACAACATTATCAATTTTGTTACCAAAGTCGATAGGGATCATTTGGGTGTGTTGTGAGGGGGTGCCATCCGTATGATAGTTGCATTGATGCTTATTGCTACTTGCAGTATTGCATCTGGTGATGGACCTGCGGGTGTGCTGCACCTGATTCTATGCATCTTGTGCTTCTGGTCGATAGAGGTATGTAGGTGGTGATGTCTGCTGTGACTGTATGGGGGACCTTGGGATGGTGTAAGCCGACGATAGTCGTTTTGATGCTTATTGCGTTCTGCAGGATTGCGTCTCTGCGATGGTTGTTTGGCGGCGCGCTATTCTCAATGGCGCTCCCTGCGTTTTAGTTTGACTCACAACCTAAGTAGCTTTGCCCAAGTCGGGTCCCTTCATTGCGGGGCTGCAGACTGTCTGTCCTCCATGTTGTTTTACATAATAACATAATAATATATCTCTATAAAGTTCCCACCTTCGAAAGATTGAAGGC